TGACACACCTGGCTCTTTCATTCCGCAGAACTGCGCCTCTTCATCCCACTACTCTTCTGAACTGAGAGATAGGACCTTGGTCACCGTTCCAGACACCCGCAGCTCTCAGTGTAAAGATATGTCATTTTACATACAACTCCTGTTTCCTTGATTGCAGCTTCTCTCATGTGTTTAGAGTTTGAGAATCTAGCAGTTTAGTTCCTTTCACCTGTCAACCCTGTAGATCGGTGTGTCACTGTGCGTGCTGTTGTGTGAGTGTATAACTCTGTGTGAGAGTAAGACTGTGTGTGTCAGTGTGAGAGAGAGTTACTCTAAGTGTCACTGTCTGTGTGTGAGAGAGTACTGTGTGTGTTATTCTGTGTGAGAGATTGTTATGTGTGTGTTACTCTGTGCTATGTGTGTGTTACTCTGTGTGTGTGAGAGAGAGTGTGCTGTGTGTGTTACTGTGTGAGAGAGTGCTGCTGTGTTACTCTGTGTGTGTGTGTAAGAGAGTGTGCTGTGTGTGTTATTCTGTGTGGGACAGTGCCACTCTTTCTGTTTGTGTTGAACAGATAAAAGCTGAGCTCTTTAAACAGGAGGTACTTCATCGCTGCTGTGTGGTGGACTGTGTACACTCAGCTGTCCAGTCTCTCTAGGGAGTAACATTCCCAGCACACACCTCTCTCCCTCCCTCGTTAGCCTCTGCTCGTTAATCCTGAGGCCTCTCTCTTACCTGTTTATCACCTCCCTCCCCCTCTCACTCATCTCCAGCTCACATTCCCTGAATTCCTCACTGGCACAGCTCTCAACACAAGGAGGAGTAGAGAGGGGGGTGAGACTCAGGACAGCACAAGCCAAACACTGGGGGACACACACACACACACACAACCACAACACACACTGGAGCGCTACAGCACCCTAAACTAGCTGAGTATCAACCAGGGTAAGAAACAGCTAAGAGAAATGGACCTGGCTGTTCAGAGAGGACAGGCTCACTGACCACAGCCTGGACAACAACACTGGACACAGGCAGACCTGGCTGTCCAGAGAGGACAGGCTCAGTGACCACAGCCTGGACACACACACTGGACACAGGCAGACCTGGCTGTCCAGAGAGGACAGGCTCACTGACCACAGCCTGGACAACGACACTGGACACAGGCAGACCTGGCTGTCCAGAGAGAACAGGCTCCTTGACCACAATCTGGCCAGAACAACTGGACACCGGCAGACCTGGCTGTCCAGAGAGGACAAATCTAATCCCAGAATTCCCACACCTGTCACAATCAGAACAGCTCCCAGTCCTGCTGGAGGAACTGTGGGCCTGTGATCTCCTGATCTTCAGTGACAGCCCGAGGAGCAGAGAGCTTGTCTCTCAATAATGTTTTATGTGTCGTATGTGACTGTCCAATAACATTTTTACTGTGAATGTTGTGCCAATTGTTAAAGCTTTTTGAACCCGAGTTTGAGAGGGGGAGAGAGGAGAGGGAGTGAGGGAGTGAGGGAGCCTGCAGTCTGTGAACACATCGTTATAATATATCAAACAAGTTACTTACCCTCTGAAACAGCAGCACTAGTAAAACCAACAATGATTAGAAGAAGGAGGCACAGACGTGTTGTTAAATGAGAAAACAGCAGGAGGCCAAAGAATTCTTTCAAAGCAATTAATGCAATTCTCAGTAACGAGCCCCAGGGGAGAGGAAAGAGAGGAATTGTAACAGCTCAGCCACATGCTCTCACACACACACACACACCAGGGATGGCTGGAGAGATGCTGGCCAGGCTCAGTGACTGACAGCCCACACAGAGATCACCTGTCCTCACCTGTGTGTGTGTATCAGTGCCCACAGTGGACAGACCCAGGAGAACTGCACAGCCCACACAGAGATCACCTGTCCTCACCAGTGTGTGTGTATCAGTGCCCACAGTGGACAGACCCAGGAGAACTGGACAGCCCACACAGAGATCACCTGTCCTCACCAGTGTGTGTGTATCAGTGCCCACAGTGGACAGACCCAGGAGAACTGGACAGCCCACACAGAGATCACCTGTCCTCACCTGTGTGTGTGTATCAGTGCCCACACTGGACAGCCCACACAGAGATCACCTGTCCTCACCTGTGTGTGTGTGTGTGTGTGTATATCAGTGCCCACAGTGGACAGACCCAGGAGAACTGGACAGCCCACACAGAGATCACCTGTCCTCACATGTGTGTGTGTATCGGTGTGTATCAGTGGGAATCAGTGTGTCAGTATGAAGGTCTTTGTGTTACAGACACACACACACACCAGACAGCGTGGGTTCTGGCTGATCACACCCGGCAGGCTGTGGTGTTTCAAGGCCCCCAGAGAATCCCCTACAGCAGCTCGGCTGGGCAGCTTGTTCCAGACACCCGCCACCCTGTGTGTACAGCAGTTCCTGTTCTCACACTCAAGTGCACTTTCCTTCACCTGCTGTTAGCAAAATAGTGGCATATTTGTCTGCCTGTCCAGTACACTTTGTATGGGTGATTAGAGCTGTAAAACCTGGAGCGGATCAGACTGCTGTGCACTGGGAGTCTGAGTGGATTCCCTGGCCTCTTATATGCATAGACACTACAAAAAAAAAACATAGCACATGTGTGTAAAGAAGGAATCACATTTCCTTGATCTGTATGTTGCATCACCAGCGTCTCTAATGACAGGCTATAACATTCTGCTTCACCAGCGAAACTATCCACAGCAAACAGCACAGTCAAATTACTGCTTTGGGTTTCTAGAAAATAACTGCTCTCTCTCCATCTCTCTTTCTACCAGGTTTACCTTCCAAAACCACTTTCTGTCTGACTGACCAACACTGACTGACCACCACGCTGACACTCTGACTGACCAGCACACTGACTGACCAGCACACTGACACTCTGACTGACCAACACACTGACTGATCGACTGTCTCACAGATCTACTGACCACCACACAACCAAACTGACTGCCCCTCTGACCGACCGACAGACAGACTCACAGCCCGGCCCAGTGACTGTTACTCCCAGTGAGAGACAATGCCCATCCATTTGCTCCTATCCTATCCTCCCAGATGAGACTCTCAAGATTTCATTTTCACACAGATGCCTCATTAAGCAAAGACAGTGGAATCTGCACTCAGCTAATTTCATTATCACCCTGGAGCTCAGCGCTGCAATTATCCAGCTCTTAATAGCAAACAGCTCATAAAGAACAGAGAGAGTTTAAACACCCCCAGCCACAGTAGCATCTCAACTCCTAAACTACAGATTTCCTTCTGCAGAGAGAGACACATTGGGGGACAGACTGGGGATCGAAGCCAGAACCCCTGGTATGTCAAGACTGGGCCTGCAAGACTGGCTGTCCTCCTGGT